TACATATGAGGTGCTTGTTGGAAACACTTCTGGCTCACTGGGGCTTGATCAATGTCCCAAAAATTTTTTCATCACAGCTATCACTGCAAAGAATGACTTGTTTATAACCAGCAGCTTTATCAGTAAAATTAAAGGGTTCTGAAGATGTGTGGGTGATCTAAAACATAAGCATATACTTAGGCTTGGGGTAGAATTTTCAAGACAGTGTCCATTAAGAATCTTGATTGCTTGAACATTTCTTTTTGTCTGACTCCAAAGGTCACAGAATCCTGCTTCAGAAAGAGTGCTGGTCTGTCCTAAGTTACCAGGATCCATGAGTTTATGGCCAGGATGGCTTTAAAATTATTGTGGGAATCTTATTAGGGGATCCTCTCCAAATATGTGTTGTTAACCTTGTTTTAATTTTATTCCTGAGGTCATATTATAGGGCTGTATTACATTTCCCCACAAAACCTTGCTTGTTGTATAATTGAAAAGACCATAAGAAGTGTGAATGCCTGAGATAATTTCAGAGTCATAATGATATAATCGATCAGATTTTAATAGGCACAAATGTCTCCCTGTTTGACCTTCTCTTTAGCCACCTCTTTATGAAGATAGGATAAACTGTTTTTCTATTTCTTAAGGCTTCAAGTACATAAAATCATAGCTGAGAAAATAATTGAAATGCTTCTGTATCAGATCTAGACACAATGAGTTAGTTTTGTAAGCATCTACTCTTTAATAATTATTTTAGCTGTTTTACTACTTTAATTTTAAATACCTTGCTTTGCACGTCAATTCCAGTTCCCTCTTCCTCCCCTCCTCACCCACCCTCCCACCACCCATCCTGCCTTCCACCCTATCCCCACTTCCTTCCACATAGGGGATATCTAGAGTCTGTCATTTCACTCAGGGCAGGGTCCAGGCCCTCCCCTAAGAGTCCAGGCTTAGAGAGCATCCCTCTTTGTGTTATGGACACACAAAGTCCATCTGTATGCCGGGAATAACCACTAATCCACTGCCCAGGGCCCAATAGGTTACCCAGTCCTCCTCACTGACTCTCACACTCAGGGGGTCTGGATCAGTCCCATGCTGTCTTACCAGCTGTCTGTCTGGGTTCCAAGAGCTCTCCCCTGTTCAGATCAGCTATCTCTGCTGGTTTTGCCAACCCATTCTTTGCCAATTTGCTCATGGCTCCTCTCTCTCTGTCACTGGGTTCCATGGGTTCAGTTAAGTGTTTAACTGTAGGTGTTTGCCTCCTGATTCCCAGACTGTGTCAGTGGAAGTGCACTATCTGGTTCCATGTCTAAAATCCATATGTGAGTAAGTACATACCATGCTTTTCTTTTTGTGACTGGGTTACATCACTCAGGATGGTTTCTTCTAGTGCCATCCATTTGCCTGTGAATTTCAAGATTCCATTCTTTTTTCAGCTGAGTAGTACTCCATTGTATAAATGTACAAAATTTACTCTATCCACTCTTCAGCTGAGGGGCATCTAGGTTGCTTCCAACTTATGGCTATTACACATAATGCTGCTATTAACATAGTGGAGCAGATGTCAATGTCGTATGAATTTGCATCATTTGGATATATGTCTAAGAGTAGAATTGGTGGGTCTTGTGGTAGATTGATTCCCATTTTCCTGAGGAATCTCCATACTGATTTCCAAAGTGGGTGGATGAGTTAGCCCTCCCACAAGCAGTGGAGGACTGTTCCAATCTCTGCACATCCTCTCAAGCATAAATTGTCTTCGGTGTTTTAGATTTTAGCCATTCTGTCAGAGGTAAGATGGTATCTCAAAGTTGTTTTGATTTGCATTTCCCTAAAGGCTAAGGAGGTTGAACAATTTCTTAAGTGTCTCTTGGCCATTTTAGCCTCCTTTATTGAGAATTGTCTATTTAGTTCTGTACCCCATGTTTTGATCGGTTCCTTTGGTGTTTTGGAGACTTGCTTCTTGTGTTATTTGTAAATTTTAGAAATTAGCCCTGTGTCAGATGTGGGGTTAGTGAATATCTTTTCCCATTCTGTGGGCAGCCTTTTTGTCTTGTTGACTGTGTCCTTTGCCTTAGGAGATCCCATTTGTAAAATGTCAATCTCAGTGTCTGTGCTACTGGTGTTATGTTCCAGAAGTGGTCTCCTGTTCCAACTCGTTGAACAGTATCTCCCACTTTCTCTTCTAAAATTTCAGTGTGTATGGATTTATGTTGAGACCTTTGATCCATTTGGGCTTAAAAATAAACATGGATCTATCTGCAGTCTTCTGCATAACAGTACCCTGTTATGCCAGCACCATTTGTTGAAGATGCCTTCTTTTTTCCATTGTATAATTTTAGCTTCTTTGTCAAAAAATAAGTGTTCATAGGTGTGTGGGTTAAATTCAGCGTTTTCAATTCAGTGCCATTGGTCTACCTGTCTATTTTTGTGCCAATAAGAAGCTGTTTTTCAGGACTATAGCTCTATAATAGAGCTTGAAGTCAGGGATGTTGATGACTCCTGAAGTTCCTTTATTGTATAGGGTTGTTTTGGCTATCTTGGGTCTTTGGTTTCTCCATATAAAATTGACCATTGTTCTTTCAAGGTGTGTGAAGAATTGTGCTGGAATTTTGATAGGGATTGCATTGAATCTGTAGACTGCTTTTGGCAAGATTGTCATTTTTATTATGTTGATCCTACCAATCCAAGCACATTGGAGATCTTTCCATTTTGTTGTTTCCTCTTTGATTTCTTTCTTTAGAGACTCAGTTCTTGATATAGAGTTATTTCACTTCCTTGGTTAACATTATCTCCACATATTTGTTGCTGTTTTAGCTATTGGGTTAGTGTCTGGGAATCCACAAACCTGCTATAACAGTATTATACTTTGTTCTCTGTCAAAATATCTCACAGATTCCATATGGTATTTCTGCACCATACAGGGCACTGCTTTAAAATAAGGATTTAACACTTTGGCTGGGGAAAGAGTATAAGCTTACCATGTTTTTTATTGTTAATATAGCATCTGCTGTTGCCAGACTATACTTTCTAACACTAAGCCTTGTAACCTTCTTTAGTCAACCGTCCAGGTGAATTGAGATCTCTATTTTTTCTTTAGAATCTGACTTAAGGGTTATAATTCACCATTAGACAGACTTAAAAAAGCCATATCCATGGAATATTTCCCAAGAATTTCTGAAAATCGCTCAAAAGATTGTAAAGTATCCTTTTTTAATTGTCCAAATTGAGGTTTAATTTCTGTTAGAATATATGTCCCACATAACTTTTGAAAATTACTTAGTCTGTAGCAGTCTTTTCCAATCTAACAGGTAGAGTTTTCATTAGATGACAAGGCCTCATTTGCATCTACACAGGCACCTTTGGGGGTGGGGCCTGACCAAGCACAATTCCCTGAAAAAACTTTTTTTCAAATCACGTATTAACTTCTATTTTCTAGGTTTTTTTAACCATAAATATTTACGAAGATCTCTTTATCGTCTCCTTTGTTTAACTCCATAGAATCATCCATGCATATTCTTTTGGTTCCTAGGGTCTACTATTTTTTATTGACTAGCTTTAAAGGCTTAAATCTTTCATCTTTCCTGTTAAGACATTGACTGACTGGGTGGATGCCACTTTAGGCTGTATCTAAAGCAATTTAGGTAGGTTTCACCTGTATCTGAAGTGATTTAAGTATCCTTTTAATCATGTCCAAGGTGATTAGAACAGTTGCTTTTGTCAGCATTCACACATTTACACTTCACCTTCCATACATACTGGTGTGGCCATACCTTACACACCGACCATGCACACATATCTCTCATCTCTCCTCTTGCCCAGGTAATTGCCCAGGTTATGATTTGTTAGTTGAAATTAAACATCATTAATTGAAGTCTCCTGTAACACAGCAGCTATAATCAATCCTTGAGTACCCCAAATCTGAACAAATCTGAATTTATCTATGTTGTCTTTCTTTTTCCATAAGGTCCGCTATCTGAACAAATCTCAATAGACTCATTTGTGTCACATTCCTTTCTATAAAGTCTTAGCATGGCCTGCCATGCTGCATTAGCATTATATAAGCTAGTTGGCTCAATCAATGATTTAACACCCGTATCTCCCTTATTTTGGATGAAGCCTGCACTATCCTAGAGATAAAATTTTTGAAACAACTCCTTAGGTCCATTCCAGCTCTTTCTAAAGCCTAGAGCCTGTGTCCTGGCAGCTGGGAGCATGTGTCATGTTCTCTCCCCTGCTGGGACAATCTGTTTATACTGCTGATTTATATCTTGTATTGCCCTTCCTCAGGGAGCACCATATAACAAAAGGAAGGTTTTGGGATTTTTTTGTTTGTCTATTTTGTTTTGTTTGCTGCTTCTCAAACACTAACCTGCACTGGAGACAACTGATCTGTTGGGGCTGTTGCCCACGGCTGGAGGGGTGCTTATCCCTAGGCTGATCTATGTTTGCTGTTACCTTAGACAAAGGAAAATTTCTCTGATTTGAGGAAATCGAAAAAATGCTTATCTCCTGTGACATTGATCTTGTTAAATCTTTCAAGCCACTTAGATTTTGCTGAATTTTACCACTAGGTTTCTGCCTCTCTGTATTTCTAGTTCCCAATTCCTCTGTCCTTTACAGTTTTTGTTTGTTTGTTTTCTGATCTAGCTGCTCCTCAGTAGGCACCAAGGTCTCTTGTCGTACTGCTAACTGGTTCAGGGGCAGATATTTCTTGCTGTTGTGCACATAGATGAGGTAGCACCTGTGCTTCCCGAGGCCCTGGTGCAGCACCTGTGATACAGCTGCAGGAGTAGCTTCCTTGAGAAGGGAAGGAGCCTTTTAAAACTTTTAAATTGCAAAATCCTCTGCCGTTTTGCATCATTTTAGCTCTCCTGGCTATCAAGACACTCACAAGTAATCATACAATCATCTGACCAACAATTTCCTTCTCATACATTCCTTCAATAATCTTGAAGGCAGTCGCCACCCCCCCTTTTTGTCTATTTATTTGTTGTCTCCTCCAGGGACAAATATCTTCCATATAAGTTACAACCTCTTTATATCTTTATTTTTTACCCATGTTTCACGTAAGAATTGTACAAGATCCTTCTTTTTATCCCTGATTCCTCGTATCCTGAGGGCTCCCTTGAGCCTGGAAATAAAGACACTATGTCAACAAATTCCCTGTCCCATCACTTATATTGGAGGTACGATCTCGGCCATTGCTCACCACCACCTCGTCGTCTTGTGCTTTTCGGTGGGTCACTGAAATGAAGAATGTGCTGTCCCCTGGAGGACACTCTGGATGGGCCCTTCACTCAGGCATGTCACTCCTGGGTATCCAACATGAGGCCATCATGAGCACCAAAACTGCCCTAACCAGCAGGGCATTCAAGTTGGTCTGGTAGACACCTAGGAGAAAGACAGAGGACAAGGGGATACGAGAACAGACACCAAGACAGGATTGTGATCAAGTTGGGGTCTTTACTCATCACAAAGGGATTTGTTTAGGAGAAGTGAGGAGGGGAAGGGTGAAAGTGTACTTGTAGATGCATGGGCAAGATGTCAGTGGGAGAGGTGGTCTGCTGTGTATCCTGGCAAACTAATCTACAGGGCAAGAGGTCAGGGGTAAGAACTCCTATGTTGCTTTGTAACGTGACAGCAGGGACCGATCCTATCTATTACAATTTACTACTGCTCAGATATTTTGTTTAACACATACTACACTAAATTCACTTGAGTCAGAAAGCACCTATCTTGGTGAAATATTTGTGTCATCAAACTTGGTCAATAATTCAACATTCTCTGAAGAATGAGGCTTAAATTCCTTACTCTGGTTATCTTGGTAAGCAGATGACTCTTCTTTCTTTTTCATTTAAAAAATATTACAAAATAATACCATATAAAAGTACTAGATATTTTAGATTTTTCATTTTTACTATTTCCAAGAGAATGATGACTTCAATAATAATTTGTAGCTATTAGATGGAAGATTTGTTTGAGTGGTGGGTCAAGGTATTAAGAGTTTGATTAGGCAGGACCACGTGACTCAGAGTAGACAAGGAATCTTTAGATTTTTCTTTGTCTGTGTGTGTGTTGGGCGCTGGAGAGATAGGTTCTAGATTTTCAGACTTCCAGGACTGAAGGGACTTATTACTGTGAGACGGTTTCTCAGTACATTACCACTCAAAAATGATAAGGATCTAGGGCACAAATGTCCACTATCCATTCCTTTGGAGTTCAAGCTGAATACATGAAATTTGGAATCTTTTAGAGAAGAATTTAAATGATTGTTGAAGTCAAGTCACAATAACAATAAACATGTACATTCCATTACAGGGTAAACAGCGTTGATTTCAGGTCAAAGAACTGTCTTCTCGGGTCAGAGTAGTTGGCACTCAGCAAATGAAACATATGTAATGAGCCACAGGAAATTATATTATTCTAAGATAATTGAAGGACCAGTTTGGTGATGGAAGAATTTTTCAGGGTGGACATCAAAAATAATAAAAGATTCCAGTATTTGTGATATATATATATATCTTTGCCCAGAAGTGATGAAACACTTCATCTTATATTTCATTAGACAGATAAAGTTACATGGTTTTCTCTATTAATGTGCAGAACAATTGCCACAAATACGGAAGGAAATATCAGAAGATTTTGTGAATATTCCTAATGTCTAACACCTTCAGATTGTATGTTTGTCCTGTGGGTCTTTTCTTCACTAAACCAAAGTATTTACAAGCCTGATGGGGTCATTGTGCTTACTATCAGTTGACCAGAGAGAATGGCACATTCCTTTGTTAAGATGGCAAAAGTGAAGAATGTTAAAATTCAACATCAAATTTTACATTTTATTTTTGAACAGTAACATTTGTATAGTTAAAATAAACCATAAATTGAAATGGTTTCACTATGCATTTCATTATCGATGGTCGCCCTCTTCTTGCCTTGGTCTCCACAGACAATTCTTATTAGCATTTTCTATCATGTTATTTTAGAGCATTTTTCTGTAAATGCCTATACAGTTTACCTTTATATGTTTTCCTTTAAACATGTATATTTAGCATCCTTTATGGACTATACTGTACTATGGAATATTGCAATTGAATACTTCTACAAGTGTTGTTTCCTAATGTGTCCTAGAAAGTTTTCCACATTGCCACCTGGAGAGAGTCTTAGTTTCTCTAAGATACACATTATCTTCTAAAGAGTGATGATGCCACAGAAGAAAGGCAGTTGTTAACTGTTATGTCAGCACCACAAATCCCATTATAAATCTAGTTCGTTGTTCATGTGGAAAATGCCCAAGGGATAAAAACCTTGAAGTAGGCATTCAGTAGAAAAGCAAAAGGATTTGCAAAGAGACTTTGCACATACTAGATATTTCCAGATTACTCTCCACATATAAGGAATCTTTAAATGTTCCCTAAACTATACTGGAAATCTAAGATATTTTCTTAGTTTGATATATTAAAAATGGACTTCACCAGATATCAATTGTTTAAAGAGCTATTGGCAAGTCCAAGTAATAGCCTGAGTCATAAAAATGAAATTACCCCAAGTTTGAAAATTCTTTGGCAATCACCAGATTTTCTGTCAGCACTTCTGCTTAAATGGGTTGCAGCCCTATCATGTCTCATGACTCTGTTAACATCTGACCATCACTTAGTTTTCTAACATTTTCAGAAAAAAGCTTGAATCACCAAGAACTACACAGAACATGAGTGCAAGACCACAGCTTGAGGACTGTGAAAGGAACCTAGGTTCCCCCTGATCTTCCTCAAATGCCATAGTCCTCTCTCCTTCTCTAAGGTTTCAGTGTCCTCTCAGACAAATATCTATTGTAAGACACATTCATAAAGATGGCCTTAGTGTAATGTTTTTGAAATGCAATTAGAGGAATTAAAATTATAAACTTAAAAAAATGTAGCACTCACCACTGAGGGGACTTGGGGGTCCTCTCCCTCCAGCATCCAAGGGGTTCCTGTTGTTTCTTCATAGAGAGTTGGGGCTCCTGCCTCTCATTTTGTGATCCTATGCTAGAGGGAAAAGATGCTCTTACCTTTTATTTAACTCTTAGAAGAGGTAGGTGGGAAGATGGAGAATTGGAGAAATTTCCCAGTGGTTAAGACTGCTTGTTTTTGCAAAGGACTGGAGTTCAGGTCCCATCATTAAGGACAGCTGACAAGTACTTGTAACTCTAGTTCCAGGGGAGCTGATGCTTTCTTCTGGACTTTTGTGTACTTACACAGAAACACACTGGCATGTTCATGATCACAAACACATAAGAAAAGTGAACATTTTTACATAATTAAAAATAATAATTAACCTCTACCCAAAGAACAATCCAAATCATTTAAAATTTTTGGTAAGTTCAAATTAATTTCAAATTTCCCTTGAGATTTTATATCTACGAAGGTAGACATGACCATAAAACTAACCCAGAAATCCCTGGGTTTGGTGATAGTTTAGATTTTTATAGATGCAAAATAGAAATTGGTTATTATTGTTCAGCTTTTGACATCTTGTAGGATATACACACATCAGCCTGGCCTCTTGACCTCTCTTGCTGCTTTTCTCTTGCCTTCCACAGAATCTTATCCACTACTCTTCCTGCCTCCTCCTCACTGCCACACATATGTCCCTCCACACTGTAACTGGAAGTAAGCAAACAGTGCCTCATTGAGTGTGTGTGTCTATGTGAGTGTGAATGTGTGTGTTTATGTGAGTGCATGTGTGTGTATGTATGTATGTGACAATGTGTGTGAGTGTGTGTATGTGAGTGTGTTAATGAGAGTGAATGTGTGTGTATTGATGTATGTGAGTGTGTGTGAGTGAATGTGTGTGTATGTGAGTTAATGTGTGTGTATATGCAAGTGAAAGTGTGTGTATGTGAATGAATGCTTGTGTGTGTATAAGTAAGTGAATGTGTGTGTATGTGAGTGTATGTTTGTGTATTTAAGAAAGTGTGTGTTTGTGAGTGTGTATGTGAGTGAGTGTGTATATGATTGTGTGTGTATGTGTATTTGAGTGAGTGTATGTATGAGAGTGAGTGTGTATTTGAGTGAGTGTGTATGTATGTAAGTTTGTGTGAATGTGATTGTGTGTATGTGATTGAATGTGTATGTGTATGTGAGTGAGTGTGTGTATGTGAGTGAATGCATATGTGTGTATATGTGAGTGAATATGTGTGTATGAATGTGTTTGTGTATTTGTGTGAGTGTGTGTATGTGAGTGAATTAATTTATGTGTGCATTAGAGAGTGAATGTGTGTTTATGTGAGCGTGTTTTTGTGTATTTGACTGAGATTGTTTATGTGAGTGTATATGTGAATGAGTGTGTGTATGTGAGTGAGTGTGTGTGTGAGTGTGTGTATGTGTGTGTGTATGTGTGTGAATGGGTTTGTATGTATGTATGTGACTGTGTGTATGTGAGTGAATGTATATGTGAGTGTGTGTTTGTGTATTTGTGTGAGTGTGTATGTGAGTGAATGCATGTGTGTGTATAAGAGAGTGCATATCTCTGTATGTGCGTGTGTGTTTTTGTATATGAGTGAGTATGTGTATTTGAGTGTGTATGTGTAAGTGAGTGTATGTGAATGTGTGTGTGTCAGTGAATGTATATGTGTATGTGAGTGTGTGTATGTGAGTGAATATGTATGTATGTATGTGTGTATGTATGTATATGAGTGAATATTTGTGTAAATATGTATGTGAGAAGTGTGTGTATCTATGTATGTGAGTGTGTGTGTGAATGTGTGTTGGTGAGTGAATGTGTGTGTATATGAGTGAATGAGTGTTTCTATGTGAGTGAATAAGTTTATATAAGTATGTCCTCAGTGTGTGTGTATATTAATGAGTGTGTGTATGTGAATGAGTTTGTGTATGTGAGTGTGTGTATGTGACTGAATGTGTGTTTATGTGAGTGTGTGTATGTGAGTGAATGTTTTTGTATGTATGTATGTGAGTGAGTGTGTGAGTAAGTGTGTGTGTTTATGGGAGGGAATATGTGTATGTATGTATGTTTGTATGTGAGTGTGTATGTATGTGTGATTGTGTGTGTGAGTGAGTGCATGTATGTGAGTGAGTGTGTGTACATGAGGGTATGCATGTGTGTATATATGTGAGTGAATGTGCATATGTGAGTGTGTATTTGTGTATTTGAGTGAGTGTGTATATGTGAGTGTGTATGTGAGTAAGTGTGTGTATGTGAGTGTGTATGTGAGTAAGTGGGTATATATGTGAGTGAGTGTGTATGTGATTGGGTATGTGTATGTGACAGAATGTGTGTATGCGAGATTATGTTTGTATATTTGAGTGAGCATGTGTTTGTGAGTGTGTATGTGAGTACGTGTTTATGTATGTTAGTGAATGTGTGATTGTGTGTGTATGGGTATTTGAGTGAGTATGTGTATGTGAGTGTGTATGTGAGTAAGTGTGTATGTGATTGGGTATGTGTATGTGAGTGAATGTGTGTGTATGTGTGTGTGTATGTGTGTATATGTGTGTGTATGTGAGTGAACGTGTGTGTATGTGTGTGTCTGTGTTTGTGTGTGTGTGTGTGTAGGGGGCACACAGCGGGCTTGAGAGCAGATGGAGTTGACACATCTGCCCAAACTCTGAATCTGGAAACAGTGATCTGAATTTGTTCACAGTGATCCTTGACCTTTCGCTAGTTGAGCTGCCTGTTAGAAGTTCACTGATCACTGCCGTCTTTTAGCATCTTCCCTTCACTCTTTTATGAATGTGTAGAGTTACTGTTTCTCTACACAGATATTTTACTCTTAACACACACTACACTAAATTCACTTGGGTCACAAAGTACCTATCTTGGTGAAATAGATGTGTTAGCAAACTTGGTCAATAATTTAACATTCTGTGAAGGATGAGGATTGAATTCCTTACTCTGGTTATCTTGGTAAGCAGATGTCTCTGCTTTCTACTTCATTTAAAAAATATTACAACATAATACTATATAAACGTACTAGAGAGTTTAGATTTTTCATTTTTACTATTTCCAAGAGGATGGTGACTTCATTAATGCTTTGTAGCTATTAGCTGGAAGATTTGTCTGATTGGTGGAGTCAGGGTGTTAAGAGTTTGATCAGGCAGGATCACATGACTCAGAGTAGACAAGGAATCCTTAGATTTCCCTTTGTCTGTGTGTGTGTTGGGGGAGGGGAGATAGGTTCCAGATTTTCAGACTTCCAAGACTAAAGGGACTTATTACTGTGAGATTGTTTCTCAGTACATTACCACTGAAAATGATAAGGGACTTGGGCACAAATGTCCATTATCCATTCCTTTGGAGTTCAAGGTGAATACATGAAATTTGGAATTTTTAGAGAAGAATTTAAATGTTGAAGTCAAGTCACAATAACGAAAATCTGTACATTCCATTACAGGGTAAACTGCCGTGATTTCAGGTCAAATAACCCTCTTCTTGGGTCAGAGTATCTGACACTCAGCAAATGGCATATATATAATGAGCTCCTCAGCCTCTATCTGCCTGTATGGGGAGCCTGACGAGAATGAGCCCTCTTGGAGGCTGAGAGAAAGATGCTCTTCCAAGGACTCACCATGTAATGAGCTGGAGTAGCACCAGGTTTTGGCAGCTACCTGATGCCAGGAAGGACCTGAGCTAGGCCTACTTGAGTGTCACGGCCTGGAGAGGTTAATTATACTTTCATGAGTGGTCAAGGCTCATGAGGGCTGAGGTAGACCTGCTTGAGCAAATAAGGGCTGGGTTGGTTGAGGTAGGCCTAGGGTGGTTGGGATGGGAGAAAGCAAACCTGGCAGAGATGAGTGCTGTGAAATCCTCAGTCACACTGAGAAGCCATCATGCTAGGATCAGCATGGTTGGAGTGCAAGCCACAGTATCAGAAGGTGAGGGGGATGAGAAGGCAGCCCTGATGGTGTTGGTGTTGAATGGTGTCTTCCAGGAGTCAAGGTCTCTGGTGACTGAGAGACACTCACAGAGGACTGTGACTCAGTAGAAGCTGGGGTATCCAGTAAGACATGTGACAAGATTTTAGAATCTTTAGTCAGCAGGTGTTCCTCAAGAGGAGTGGAGAAAGTGCATAGGAACAAATTGGTGGCCTCAGACACTTCCCTGGGCTCCCTAGTGGCAGGTGGGCTTTGGCAGCTTCTGGTTTGGATGCTTCACCTAAGGTATCTTTTCCTAAGAGTTAGTCAAAGCTGATGGCAATGACAAGCCTCTCTAGTATCCTGTGGAGAAGTGAAACCAGCAGCTTGTCCTCCTTCTCCTGCCTCTGTAAGCTTTCACAGTCCTGGTTTTCTTCCTGACCTTGGCAGGCTCTCCCTTCTCTACCTTTTGGGAGGTGGTGTGAATTTCCCATGGTGAAGATGAGGGTGAGCTAAGGTGGAGGAGAGGTCACAATAGGTAGAAGTGTGCCGGCCTATGCAAAGTCAGATTTCATCTCCATTGCCCAACTGGTGAAGCTGGGGGTCAGCCATGAAGTATCCACACTTTCCAGATGAGAGAGAAAACTCTCCATCTGAATCTCTGGCAACTGAACTCTGAGAGGTCTCTCTGGGAGTTGGCAGCTGGACCCAGGCCTACATCACAGAGCTCCTGTCTCTCTCTGTCACAAAGGGCTCCCCTGTGTGGGTGAGGGGTTGTGGGAAGAGGTGACAAAATGCTCTCTCCCCATCCTCCAGCATTCACAGGTTCTCCACACAGCACTTCGTGTTTCTGTTTCCAATCTAACCTGCACACTCTGTCAGAAATAGAGTGTTCTCCATTCTCTGTTCCTCCCCTATCCTCAGAGAGAGGCCTGTCCATGTTGTGTGGGTTTTTGAAACCTCCAAGCCACCTCCAGTGACACACCTCCTACAAAAGTCACAACTCCTCATCCCCCCAAACAGTTCCAATGACTCAGGACCAAGCAGTCAAATATGTAAGCCTATGGAGGTTTGTTGAAACGACCACATTCCATTCTCTGCCCCTCCATAGGCTTGTGGCGATATCATAAAGCAAGATTCACTTAGTCAAACGTGGAAAGTCCCCATGGCCTTTCACAGTCTCAATGATATTTCAAAGTCCAAAATCTCTTCAGAAACACAAGGCAATCTCTTACTTGTAACCTCATATAAAAACAAAACTCAAATTACATTTTTCAACATACAATGACATAGCATACACATTTCCATTCAAAAAGGGAGAAAAGAGGGCATAGGGAAGAAAAACTGAACCAAAGCAAAACCCAAGCTTGATGAACTCCAAACTCTGCATCTCATGTCTAACATCAAAGGGCTCTTCAGCTCTCCTGCTCCCTTCAGCTCTGTTGGAGGCAACAGGCTCTATTCTTGTGGACTGCTTCCACTATCTGTTAGCAGCTTTCCTTGGCAGGTATCCCATGGCTCTGGCACATCCAACATCTAGAGGTCTCCAATAAAATCGAGGATTGAACATAATAGCCTCTCTCAGCTTCCATGCAGGGACACCCCTGACACATGCCTGGCCTCAGCAGCTTTCCTCATCCACAGTGGATGATTCCACAACCAATTTACTCTAATTTCTTTCATGACTCGGAAGGCCAGAACCACATGACCAAAGTTGCCAAGTTCTGCTGCCTGCTTAGCATGAAACCTGAAACCAGGACCCATCATGAAGTGTATTGACATAATCTCTGATTTGTTGTTGCTCTTTAGGGACAAGGCCTTTCTTTTCTTCTCACAATTTGCAGGATTAGCTGGGTGGGGTCCTGTTTCCAGGTTCTGGCTATGACACATAATGCTGCTATGAACATAGAGGAACAGATGTCCTTGTTGTATGAATTTGCATCTTTTGGATATATGCTTAAGAGTGGAATTGGTGGGTCTTGTGGTAGACTGATTCCCATTTTCCTGAGGAATCTCCATACTGATGTCCAAAGTGGCTGTATGAGTTGGCACTTCCACCAGCAGTGGAGGAGCGTTCCCCTCTCTCCACATCCTCTCAAGCATAAATTTTCTTCAGTGTTTTTTATTTTCGCCATTCTGACAGCAGTAATATGGTATCTCAAAGTAGTTTTCACTTGCATTTCCCTGATGGCTAAGGATGTTCAGCCATTTTAACCTCTATTGAGAATTCTCTATTTAGTTCTGTACCCCACCTTTTAATGGGTTCTTTTGGTGTTTTTGAGACTTGCTTCCTGAGTTCTTTGCAAATTTTGGAGACTAGCCCTGTGTCAGATATGGGGTTAGTGAATATCTTTTCCCATTCTTTGGAATGCCTTTTTGTCTTGACTGTGTCCTTTGCCTTACAGAAACTTCTTAGTTTCAGGAGGTCCCATTTGTTAATTGTCAATCTCAGTGTCTGTGCTACTGGTGTTATGTTCAGGAAGTGGTCTCCTGTACCAACTCCTTGAAGAGTATCTCCCACTTTCTCTTCTAAAATTTCAGTGTGTATGGATTTATGTTGAGATCTTTGGTCCATTTGGACTTAAGTTTTGTACAAGGCGATAAACATGGATCTATCTGCAGTCCTCTGCATACCAGTACACAGTTATGCCAGCACCATTTGTTGAAGATGCTTTCTTTTTTCCATTGTATAGTTTTAGCTTCTTTGTCAAAAAACAAGTGTTCATAGGTGTGTGGGTTAAATTCAGGGTTTTCATTTCGGTGCCATTTGTGTACCTGTCTATTTTTATGCCAGTAACAAGCTGTTTTCAGGACTATAGCTCTATAATAGAGCTTGAAGTTAGGGATGGTGATGCCTCCTGAAATTCCTTTATAGTATATGGTTGTTTTGACTATCCTGGGTCTTTGGTTTCTCCATATAAAATTGATTATTGTTCTTTCAAGGTCTGTGAAGAATTGTGCTGGAATTTTGATAGGGATTGCATTGAATCTGTAGACTGCTTTTGGCAAGATTGCCATTTTTATTATGTTGATCCTACCAATCCAAGCACATTGGACATCTTTCTATTTTCTTGTTTCCTCTTAGATATCTTTCTTTAGAGACTCAAAGTTCTTGATATACAGGTATTTCACTTCCTTGGTTAATATTATCTCCAGATATTTGATGCTCTTTTGGCTATTGTAAAGGATTTTTTTCTCAGATTTTTTTCAGCCACTTCATCACCTGTATACAATAGGGCCATTGATTTTTTTGAGTTAACCTTATATCCTGCCACTTTCCTGATAGTGTTTATCAGCTCTAGTTCCCTTGCAGAGTTTTTTGGGTCACTTATGAAAACTGTCATATCAGCTACAAATTGTGTAAGCTTGAATTCTTCTTTTCCTATTTGTATCCCCTTGATCTCCTTTTGTCTTATTTCTCTAGCTAGAACTTTTAAGTACCATATTGAAGACATATGGAGTTCCTGATTGCAGCGGAATTGCATTGAGTTTCTCTCCGTTTAGTTTGTTGTTGGCAGTTGGTTTACTGTATATTGCTTTTAGTATGTCCAGGTGATCTCTCTAGGACCTTTATCATGAAGGAGTGCTGGATTTTGTCAAAGGGCTTTTCAACATCTAGTGTGATGATCATGGGGTATTTCTTTAGCAATTTGTTTATATGGTGGATTACTTTGATAGATTTTCTAATGTTGAACCACGCCTGCATCCCTGGGATGAAGCCACCTTGATCATGTTGGATGATTTTTCTGATGTTTTCTTGTTCATGAGGGAAATTGGTCTATAGTTTCTTAGTTGTGTCTTTATCTGGCTTGGTTATCAAGGTAATCGTAGCCTCATGAAAAAATTTGGCAGTGAGCCTCCTGCTTCTATTGTGTGGAATATTTTGAGGAGTATTGGAATTAGCTCTTCTTTGAATTTCTGGTAGAATTCTGCAATTAAGCCATATGGGCCTGGGCTTTTTTTGGGTTGTAAGACTTTTAATGACTCCTTCTATTTCATTAAGGGTTATAGGTCTGTCTAGATTGTTTATCTGTTCTTGATTTAGTTTTGGCAAGTGATATCTATCCAGGAAATTGTCCATTTCCTTCAAATTTTCTAATTTTGTGGAGTACAAGTTTTCAAAGTATGCCCTGATGATTCTCTGGATTTCCTCAGTGTCCGTTTTTATGTCCCACTTTTCATTTTTGATTTTGTCAATTAGCATTCTCTCTCTCTTTCTCTGTCTTTTGGTTAGTTTGTATCGAGGCTATAAAGGGAAATCAATATATTTATTCATCAGAGAGAGAGAGAGAGACGCACTGACTGGGAGTCAGAAGCGTGGCTGGCTTCCAGGAGAAAAAAAAGGAGGTTCCTTCTTCTTTCACTTCCTTTTATATCTACCTGTGTCAGCTTACATGTCTCCGCCCTCATGGGTGGATAGCCTTCTGGGGTTCACTCCTACAATTCCCCTTTTAGTCTAAATAGAAGATTTAAATCTGATACAAACTCAAACATATACAACATATATACGTAGAGGGTGATAATTAAGTTATAATCTACTTATCCTAAACTAAACATATCCATTCCACCTAAATTCTAAACTTATCTGAAAAGGATGCCTAAGTCTGAACACCTCCTTCCAATCCCAACCCTAAAACAATTGCAAAGTAACACTAACAGGTGTAAACTATCCTCTAATGTCAATAGTAGGGAGAGGGGATGTGGAATTCTCAAATTTACTTCCTGCTGAAGTGGGATGATGACAATCATGGGGACCTGTGGGAAAAATTGTTAGTGTAACAAGAGTCTTAAATAGGTCAGTTAGTCTCTGTTTTGCAGGAGAGGCTTGACTGAAGTTCCGGATTTTGATTGAAGCTCTTGTCTGAAGCTCTGGTCCGATTGTAGAAGATGCACTGTATCAATTCCTTGGCCTGACGATGTGTCGAGTGATGTAGTTCCAAGCTGGTTTCAGGATGGTGCCTGTCAGGTGGGGTCGATGATGTGGGGCAGTTTAGATGTATCCAGTCGAATCAGGTGGAGTCGGGAAAGTGAATCCACATTCTCTTTCTGAAGCAGTTGAAGATCGCTGTCAAGAAATCCCTTTGTCTCTGGAAAACTGAAATATTAATGTTAGCACAGAAATTCTTAACTTCTATGTGTATGAATACTGGGAAAGGCAATCCTAAGGAAGATAATACACATGAAGGAGATTAGAGTTTTAGAAAAGAATCAAATACACACAGATGACAGTCCCCATATATGTATATCTTTTTTGATGTCGTTGTTTCTGTCTTATATCAATGGCTCTTTGATATAATACAGAAAGTCTGAATTGCATTTTAACAATATGCTTGGGTTTAAAGCAGGAGAGCCAATCCAACTCCAAAGCCAGCAATAATTAGATGAATTGGGACTCAGGCATATTAAGAAGTGGAAGAAATAGAAATTATAATAACAAAATACAGACATTTAGACATTGATAACACATCGCATTATTGCATGTTTGGTGGTCCTCTGAGTAGCTATCCTTTCTTTTTAGGTATCCATATACCTAGGATTTTTTCACTGTTCAGGACTAATCATCCTGTAAAGACACAAACAGAATACTTCTCTTTCCTTTAATGAGGTCTTCTTATACTTAGCAGACCTTGTAGATGAGCTGTCATCCTTCCTCCTCCTGAGACGTTTTCTGTTCTGATCGAATCTTAATTAATTTAGATGGGACCCAAAGCTTTTCTTCTCCTGTGGAAATAAAAGCATAGCCCCTTCCCCAACGTAACACATATCCTGGTTTCCAGACTGAGGTCATAACATCCTTAAAATACACTGGTTGGTTCAGTTCAGAAGTCTTCTCCGTAGTCCAGTGTCTTTCTGTTGCAGTTTGTCCTTTTTCATCAGCATTAAGAAAATTCAATGTTAGTAAAGCATTATGTAACCTGTGTTTAGGGGTCTTTGTTCTCCCCGGCTGTTTATGAAGCATCTCTTTTAAGGTTCGGTTAGATCTTTCAATCACTGCTTGTCCTGTGGGATTGTAAGGTATAACAGTTACATGTGTTATAATATTTGAAGAATTGTTCCAATTTACTGGAGACATATGCTGGAGCATTGTCAGTTTTTATCGTTTTAGGTATACTCATAACAGCCATCACCTCTAAGAGGTGTGTAATAACAGAGTCATCCTTTTCAGAGCTGAGGGCAGTAGCCCATTGGAATCCTGAGAACGTGTCTATGGTATGGTGTACATATTTTAAACTGCCAAATTCTGGGAAGTGAAATACATCCATTTGCAAAAGTTCATTTCTATGAATACCTTTAGGATTACAAACTGCTGGTAATGGGGTTTGATTGTAGAATGAGCAACTGGGGCAATTTTTTACTATTTCTTTGGCTTGTTGCCAGGTGATAGAAAAATCCTTCTTTAAGCCTTTGCTGTTGACATGGTGTTTCTTAAGAAATTCTGAAGCTTCCAACACATTACCTACTAACAAATGATCAATTTCATCATTGCCTTGTGCCAGAGGACCTGGCAAACCTGTATGGGACCTGATGTGTGTTATATATATAGGAGGAGTCCTGTTTCTGATGGTTTCCTGTAATTGTAAAAATATGAGGATAATTCTGTACTATCAGGAACAAATTCTGCAGTCTCAATGTGCAAGACAACTCTTTCTGCATACTGAGAATCCGTGACTATATTAAGTGGCTCTGTGAAGTCTTTAAGTACCATGAGAATGGCATATAACTCTGCCTTTTGTATGGAGTTGTAAGGGCTTTGAACATATTTCCTGATTTATACGTTGCCTTACCTGATTTGTTTGTATCCGTGTAGAAGGTAAGAACTCCAGAAATAGGTGTTTGTCTCACGATACATGGAAGAATCCAAATTGTTTTCTTTATGAATTTGATTCTCTCTGTTTTGGGATAGTTATTATTAATAGTTCCCGAAAAGTCACTGAAAGCTATTTACCAATACTCATTATCCTTCCATAAGGAGGA